AAGTAAAGTGATAGCGATTGCTGTATGAATCGTACGATTTTTGAATCAATCACGGGCAACGCCGGACCATGCTGCTAGTAATATATATATAGAGGTTGCATATATATATATATATATATATATATATATATATATATATATATATATATATGTGTGTGTGTGTGTGTGTGCGTGTGTGTGTGTTATTCAATCCGAAAAACTGTGGATTACTTCGATCTTGTCAAGGAAACGTAAGTTATATGCAATGAGAAAGACAATCAAGATTTCTAGGACACACACCGTATTTTCCGGTGTATAAGACGCAATTTTACTCAAAGTTTTATACACCCCACAAAAAAAACAACCTCGCATCCTTTACATTAAAGTTAACTATATATATATATATATATATATATATATATATATATATATATATATATGTGTGTGTTGTGTGTGTGTGTGTGTGTGTGTGTATTTTCTGGTATTTTTACTATAAAAATGCATTTTTATACTTTTATAATGTTTCATTGAGGGTTCACTATTTGCCCATAGATGGTACCCTAACAAATGCTACCACCCCGGGTCAGGGTAGACATGGAAGAAACAGCAATTAAGAGGTGCTTCCGCGCTCTTCAATACCTCTAATCTGCCGATCAGAGGCCTTGCTGTTGGATTTAGTTTATCGTCATACCCTGGTGTTTGTTTTTTTTATTATAATTGTATCAAAACTTAAACATTCATTGGTTTTATACTTGAGCCTATATTAGTTGGCTTTATACTTGAGTCTATAACTATATATTCAGGTTCATATTTGAGTTCATAAACAAAAAATGGTCGATCATAACCGTGACTGCAAGCATTCACTTGGTAGGCGATCCCTTTTGGTCGTGTTTACTTTTCTCCTTATTCTGTGTACTGCGTTCCTTGAGGACTTGGGTGATCATGGCTTTCCACAAATTCCTATCTTTTTTAGCTTGTAGCTCTTTGTTACGTTTGTCTTTTTATCCGCCCTGCCAACTACCTTTCAGTTACGCCATCCATTCAAACAAACCCCTCATGTAGGTGACAGTTACCTCTAACTCTTTTTTTCCTTCGATATATCCGTTCCAAATCGGGGGTCTTTATGGGTGATCCCCATCAAGTCGTGTGACCTGAGACCTTTCACAGAATATCCGCTGTTCCAAGCAAAGTAGATTTCGGAAGTGATGTAATATGAGGTTATTATTCCGATTTTCTAAATGTACGACATCGGTGGTATACACCGCAATCTTCCATTGACAACTGCGACAATAATGGCCTGAATTTTTCACATTCTCATGCAACTTAATCCGAAAAATCGGTGGAATTCTTCGTTTTGTCAAGGAAACATAAGATATATGCAATGAGAAAGACAATCGAGATTTCTAGGACACACACCGTATTTTCCGGTGTATAAGACGCAATTTTTGCCTTGAAATTTTATGCAAAAGAAAAAAATGCTCGAATCCTATACATTACAGTTAATAAGATATATAAACAGAGCATTTACTTAAATATTTGTATCTATAAAAAGAATGCATAAACATAAAAATGTCTTAAAATAATTGTCGGACATTGTCCGTTTCATAATGTGTGACGTCATTTGTTTACATTTGGATACGCCATGCGATAGATATGAATGTACGTGAGAATGTTAATCATGGAAGAAATGAAGTTTAAATACAAGTAAAAATTTAAATCTGTTTGCTAACTGAACGCCTCCTTCGTTGGCCAAATCGGTAAAGATTCGTCAATTCAGCTAAATGAACGCTCCTTCGTGGTTCCGTATAGGATTCAGGTTCGAATCCTATCGGAGGACGAATATTTTCTGTGAAAATTTCTCGGACATTCAGGCCGGTAAATGTTGTTTATTATAAACAGTCATTTACTTAAATATTCGTATCTATAAAAAGAATGTATAAACATAAAAATGTCTTAATATATATATATTCGGAGGTCGAATATTTTCTGTGAAAATTTCTCGGATATTCAGGCCGGTAAATGTTTACTATTGCTTATTATAAACAGAGCTTTTTCTTAAATATTTGTATCTATAAAAAGAATGTATAAACATAAAAATGTCTTAATATGTATATGTATATGTATATGGTGAGACAAAAGTCGCTTGTCATGGTGCTAATCTATTAAAAGTATAATTACCCATGATAATTTTATTTATTTGTTATTTAAATGTTCTATGTGTTGATCAAAGTGTCTCCCTGCTTTTTTTAAAACACATTTCATTTTCTGTGCCTATAAGATTCATTAACACGTCGGAATCTCCACTTAGAAGTGAGTTTCTGTTGAGTGATATGCATATAACTCCGTCCATGCTTTCTCTCTATATTATTTAATGAAACATGCATCAATGAAAAAATGCTGCCTAAATACACACCTCCTAAATATGTAAAACCCATTTACAGCCTCTTTCTCTTTACTTCCCTCTCCCTCTTCTTTCTTTTTCCTTTTTCTTTCCTCTCTTCTCCCCTTCCCATTTCAATATATCACTTCCGTTAAGCTAACCGTTTAAATAGGTCAAGGTCTGGTCATTCCTCCTCCCCCAATACTAAGTATGATTGAGAGAGATGTTAAATTAAACCCTCCCTAAACTCTACCATGTCTCTCTAACTACTTCTATTACACTCTCTGTTAAATTACAAAAAACTTACACTACGCATCAGTTTTCATTTCATCTTTCGTTTCATTTTTTGGAAGTGCTATCTGATGATCCGGCGTCCTTTAAAAGGGCTCTGGTGAAATAAATTATTATAATGGAACCTTAAAGTGGTCTGTTTTTCTTTAAAATAATATATATATATATATATATATATATATATATATATATATATATATATATATGGTGGATTTTCCCGTCGTATTCGACGTATGAGGGCCAAGGAATCGACAGCCAGACATCAGCATATATGATTTGATTATAGTGGTGAAGGCTTTTGAAGTATCGAATACTGAGACCTGATGTACTACGTACCACAAGGTCCCCAAACAATCCTCCGCAGGTTTTTAATTCAGTGTATTCCTTCTCCTAGACCAGTTGCCCAGGCTATAGAACCCAGTTTGTCCTGCTATTTACCCATAGCTGGTGGGAGAGGAAGAGGATTAATAACTTTCCTAAGGGTATTAACAGATATGTTTACCAAAATTACAAAAAAAAAAAAAAAAATCTTCAGACGACTTCGGAATCTCCTGCAACTCTTCTGGACGGTCTCTTATCTTAAGTTAGTTAGTTATGTTGCCATAATCCTTGGCTTCAGTTCATCTTTGGTGTTACAAGAAGTTTTGTTGGTCTCTCACTCAACAGTGCCCCACACACAATAATTAAGGGAGTTGCAGTCTAGGGTGTTAAGTGGCCAGATGTAAGGGGTCATGTGGCGGCAGACATTGTCTGACTGGGTTCTCCTGCTTGTGTGGTATGGTGCAGAATCCTCTTGCCAGGCATAGGGTCTTCCAGAAGACACCCTCTTTAACCCAGGACAGCACTACCGTCTAAAGGTACTTGATGTGAGATTCCGTGTTTAGTCTGAGGTACTCACCAACAAATTCGGGAGTTCTTAGAACAATCAGAATGAGTTTTCTGGGTTGCCGTACCTTCGTATTCACCATTAACCTCATCCAACTCTTTTCGATTCCTCTGTACTACCCTGAGATTGATACCTAAACATTTTGAGATATTCGTATTGGAGCTTCCGGTGCGAATGTCAAGCAGTACAGCTGTCGCTTCAAATATTCTGGCGGAGCGAATTGCGTTGTGGTGCTCTTTTTCTCACAGACAGTACCCAACTGACCCTTCTGTACCATGCACTCAACAAAATCAAAAACAAACAACACGCATGTCGAAATTAAAAATTTCAAATGGCAACAATTTACCCATCGCACCTTATCACCTCCAAAAATGTACACATTGTAAAAAATACTAAATTTATTCAGATATCACAAGTTTAATACAAGTTACATTTGGACTCTATAATCACAAGAAATGCTCAAAATGGTCGCTTTTAGTTTCCAGGCATTTATTAGTATGGCGTGGTACCGCTTGGATCATATCGTTATCAGCATCCCCTTGACTTTGTAATGTTAGGGCGGATCTGAATGCAGAAGCCACACTAACTCTTTTTCCACAACCGTCTATCAAATGCAGCCATCAGCAATTCTGCTACAGTCATACCTGTCCATTGTTTGACATTTCCCAACCAGTCTCTGCGTTGGCGCCCTCTCCTACGTCCACTTTTAACGGTGCCTTGTTTGATGGTCTTGCACACCGCTTGGATAACGTTGTCCGAAGTGTCCAGTAGGATTGCCGCAATTTCAATTTTCAATTTCTTGTCTAAGGGCCGCCAATATAATGTTATCTGTCGAGAAAATATCGTACTACAGTGGTGTTATCGTCATGTGCTAAAACTACGAAAGACAAGTGTGTATACAATTTTTGGCAAACTCTCTCTCTGCATATATATATATATATATATATATATATATATATAAAGTGAACATAGAAGTCAACACTTAGAGGCGACAGTCTGTTTCATGCTATATGCAATCGTCGGGCCTGACGATTGCATATAGCATGAAACAGACTGTCGCCTCTAAGTGTTGACTTCTATGTTCACTTTTATATTTACACACGCTCTATCTCTGATATTGAGCACTTTATTCCATAAATATAGCACACCTTAAGATTATATATATATATATATATATATATATATATATATATATAAATTTTAAAACTCTCCCTTCCCTCTCTAAACTCGACCATGTCTCTCATACCATCCCTCACCACCCTCTATGTCAACTTATATAAGCTTAATACTGCCAGTCAAAAGTGTAAATTTTAATTTCATTTTTCGTTTCACCTTTTGAAGAAGGATAAAATTCTCTGGTGAAATAAATTATTACATTGGAGCTTTAAGTGGTCTGTTTGTCTGAATTAACATTGAGCTCTCAGGATTTCATCCTCTTTGGAATTATCCACACAAATTACCAAGATTTTCGTTACTTATATCTATCTATCTATCTATCTATCTATCTATCTATCTATCTATATATATGATATTAATGGTATGTATTTCAAATGAGAAATGCATATCACCAATCAGAGTGCTTAATGCAGTTAACATCGGTAATCGCCTAATCGATAATATTTCAATTTTCAGTAAACTTGGATATTTGTGCCTGCAAAAACAAAACGGCGAGGTGGGCAAAAATACGGTTTTTCCCTTAACACCGCTATTATTTTAACTACATTCACTCCTCAGATGTTATTGTTTTATTGTTTTAAAACGCGATCATTAGAATTGTAATAAAACCTAAACATATGATGAAAATGAATTTATATATTTTTTTAGTTCTTGGGAATTTATAAGAAAAAAATTAAACACTATTTATTTATTCAGAGAGAGAGAGAGAGAGAGAGAGAGAGAGAGAGAGAGAGAGAGAAATAAAAATACTTCGAACAACAAAAGGCAGAAAATTGTGGAGATACATGACTGCCTGCGTCGTCAAATAGACTTAGTCCATAAAAAAAGAAATCTAGTTTGTTCCACAAATTTTCGTCAATGATTAGAGCTGACATTGATGCTTTTGTACCGTTTCGCATATAAAAAGTGATACCACAATCTTTATTGGTTTGCATAGGCCTGTTCAGCCGCTATAGCCCACAGGAATCACTTTTTTTCCTCTTGTACCAGCGCGATAATCCCGGTCACAACAGACGCTTATTTGTAACTGCTCGAAATAAGAAAGAGGCTAAATCTGTTTGCTGATAGAATTATGCACCGTATGACCTCTAACAAGTTTTGTTCACGTGACTATTGACGGTTCTGTAATAGCGTGTTAAATTAGAGTAAGTCTTCTATCGACTCCTCTCTTCAATCGACTCAATAAACCAGTTGATAAAGCAGAATGTTTTTGCTAGTAAATTCTCTTCAAAATCTACTCTTCGCTCATCTATAGAAACTTTATTTGACTTTTAGAATGGAGTCTCTGTTGAGTGATATGCATATAACTCCGTCCATGGTCTTTGCTATCATTTCTAAACTGGGTTCTCACAAAGCACGTGGACTTGATGTTATCCCTGCAATAGTCCTTAAGAAATGTGCCCCTGAACTGGCTCCTGTTCTCTCAAAACTCTACAATAATAGCTTGCTGCTTCTTGCTTTCCGGCTTGTTGGAAATCCTCTTCTGTAGTTCCAGTCTTTAAGAACTCAGGCGAACCATCTGATCCTTCTAACTATCAGCCTATTAGCCTTCTATTTATTTTTGGCAAAGTACGAAAGGCTCTAACTCTGAACTGGTTAAACATCTCACATTGCAGGGTTTTCTTTCACACAAGCAATATGTTTTTTTCTTCTCTAGGTCAACTGCTGATGTCTTAAAGATTATTGCTGAAAGACATTATCAAGCTTAGATAAGAATGGTGAAGCTCGATCTGTTGCTTTGGATATCTCGAAGACATTTGACAAGGTTTGGGATACTGGTCTTTTTCACAAGTTGAAAGGTTATGGTATTTCTGGATGAATTTTTGAACTGATTCAGTCTTTATAATCAAATCGCGAAATGAAAGTTGTCTTGAATGGCCACTCTTCTAGATCTTTTGGCATTAATGCAGGTGTCTGCCAGAGCTCTATCCTTGGACCTATGTTCTTTCTAATTTTAATAAATGACCTACCTGATGTTATCAGTTCTCAACTCGGCATCTATGCTAATGACACAACCATTTATTAATAGTAAATCTGATCGGATCGATAAAGTCAAATTGGCAACTGATCTAAAAACTGGCCTACAAAGTGTTGTTAAATGGGGCAACGAGCAGCTTGATAATTTCAACGCCTCAAAAACGAAACTACTCTCTTTGAATGATCAGAAACAAACCCTTTTACCTTCCATCGGCATGGCTGATGCTGACCTCCAGGTGAATGACTCATTGCATCTTCTCGGATTAAAGTTTTCAGCTGAAATGGAGTGGAAAGAGTAACTTGGATCAATTTCTAAGTTTGCAGCTAAGAAAGGTCGTTCACTATGTCGGACAAGACAATTTCTATCGCCAGAATCTATCTTACATATTTATAACTCTACCATTTGTCATTGCTTTGGGTATTGCTGCCACGTCTGGTCTAGGGTACCTGCTATATATTTAGAGATTCTTAATAGAATCCAAAGAAGAATCTGCAATGTTATTGGTTCTGACCTGGCATCTCGGCTTCATCCCCTTTCCCACCGCCGTAATGTAGCTTACCTGTGCCTTTTCTATAAATACTTTCACGGTAATAATTCTGCCAAACTTTCCTCTGTGGTACCTATATGTTGAAACTTGACTAATGCATGGAATAATAATACAACACAAAATGTACGTAGAACAAAATGTATTGAAACAAGAAAATGTACACAATATTTACATATAGTCTTTTGTATATTCCTGGGAAGACCGTTCCTGGAGAATGGGTTGACTTAGTCACAGTCGGGCAGAGTCTCTGGATTGAATCTCTAGATTCCTCCCTCTCTTCCCGGTACCAACCATATTTATATGGTCGGTACTCCACTATGCAAATTAGGTGGATCCTACCACAACACTATATTTTATGAATTTGAGCGCAGTACTAGATAGGCGGCAAGGTCTCATTATTTTACAGTTGAAATTGCTAGATCTAACCGTAAGTTCTATATTTACAGTTTCTTCTATCGCACTTCTCACTTGTGGAACTCTCTTTCGGCTTCTTGCTTCTCACTGAACTTTGATCTGCAAAAATTTAAATGCACTGTTGATCGTTGTCTCCTGTCGTCTTAATTCACGTTCTCTTATTGTACTCTTTTCTCATATGGTCTAACACTCAGTAAGCCCTTGCGTCCTAGTGGCTTTATTGCCTTGTTTGGGGTGAAATGATAGAACCTAAAAAGAGACATAGAAGTAAATGATTGATTGAGATTACAGCGCACTGGAAATAACTTTCGAAACTTACCAGCTTGTCATTGCTTTAGGGTAGGCTTCACCAAAGTATAGCAGTTTTTGAAGAATCATTGGCTGACTTCTGAGTCTGTTTGCTGACATAGTTTCCGATTATGTGGGGAATGTTTTTGCCGGAAAACCAAAAATGTAGCAAAGCGAATAGGTTGCTGCGTGTGTGCATCCGGTTGTGAAAAGAGATTGCGTTCCGTATCAGCGGATGAATGATGAAGTCTTTCCGCTCTACAATTTGATAATGTCCGCTTTCAATGATTGGTCGGAAACCGCCCATTTTTATTTTGAAAACTACCCCCCCACCACATCAATTTTTTTTTTTTTTTAATTTTATTTTTATTCGTTCACATTTGTCACCTAAATATGGACTTCCGTAAATCTGTAATCACTGTGAAGCGTTTTCGTTTTAAGGTGCAGTACCAAATATGTTTCTTTTTTTTTTTCTTTTTTTTGGTCTTCTTTTCAAATGAAACGAACGGAGAAAGAAAAGGGCGATTCCCCAGAATCGGAGAGTTGACTTCTGAAAGTTTCTTTCTTGACAAGTAAAACTGATTTAGATAATAAACAAAGACATTCGAAATGCGCATGCGCAAATGTTTTCAGTATTTACTTTCAATAGTAAAGAAAACATTTTCTACTTGTTTTAAAAAAAAATACGGCCCACACGACTAATAAATATATCTCTCATCCGAATACATTTTTTTTAAAGTCGATAATAAATACAACAACCGACATGGGATGACAATAAGCGACATTTGGTAGCAAAGCCTTTGATCAGAAGATTGGACCTTTTGAAGAGTGTCGAACCACCTCTTAATTGCTGTTGATCCCAGGTCCACTCTGACCCAGGGTGGTAGCACCTGTTAGGGTCCCAGCTATGGGCAAATGGTGAACCATTCAAACTAAAATCAAAACACTAGGAAAGTATAAAAATACATATTTATAGTAAAAATACCAGCAGTACATCTTTATAAAAGAATTATCAACAATACGTTTTTGTAGTGAAATTAGCAACAATACAATTTATGGAAGAATGACCAATAATACAATATATTTATAGTAAAATTACCAACAATACATTTTTATAGCAAAATCACCAACAATACATTTTATAGTAAAATTGAATACATGGCATAGATTATCCCGCCCCCCCCACCAAAAATAAAATCAAGAAAATAAATAAAATAATTTACGACGATTAATCTCATTTCTTGTAAGCAGAAACATTTGACATTTGTTTACATTCGATACGCCATGAGCAGTTATGAATGTACGAGATTCATGGAAGATTGAAGTTTATAAGCAGTAAATTCGACCTTGCCTACCGAACGCTCCTTTGTGGCCGCGCGATCAAGGCACGTCAGCGTAAATGACGGTTCCGTTTAGGATGCAGGTTCGAATCCTGTCAAAGAACGAATATTTTCTATGAATGTTTCTCGGACATTCAGGCCGGTAAATGTTATTTAATACTGTTTATTATAAACAGAGCATTTACTTTGTATCTATAAAAAGAACGTTAAACATAAAAAAATCTTTTAATATATATTTTATCATATAATTTTAAAATTATTAGTTAGTATAAATTATTTTTAATATTACACGTATTTAAAGATCTGAATAGCTATTATAACATGATTTCGTTGTCAAGCTTTTTGAATCTTTCTATACTTCGTTTTTGATTGGTTATTCTAGCTTTTGTAACAATGTTTCCCCCCTAGTGTAGGATCGTTAATTAATCTGAAACTTAAAACCATTTATTTTCTTTTCAACATCATCACTTGATAAGACACAGAGTGTGTTGAAACAAAATGGCTATTTTTGTAGTGATTTTATAAAATATTTATTTTATAATTTTTTTATAAAAAATAATTATATATATATATATATATATATATATATATATATATATATATATATCAAGTATGTGATGCAGTTCAAAACCTACCAGTACGAAAGAATTCTCCTATTACCATATTAGTACAAAAACACATAATCTTAAAATTTAAAAATTCAACCTCAGCGACCGCACGCACCCCCCCACCAATTTCTTACAATAAACAATAACACATTTCTCATAGCATTTTTTCGGATTACAT